ACTTGAGTGGGGTTTAAAAATTGCTGGGGACAATAAAGTAGGCTAGCACAGGGGTCGGCAATCCGCGGCTCTGGAGCCGCATGCGGCTCTTCCATCCATCTGTGCTTGTAAAATAATGAATGGATATTTAAATAAAAAGCTTTATATTTTACTGCATTAATTTTACATCTGTATGCCAATTCTAAATGTAAAGATTGTCTGCGTAAACCTGAACAGGTCCAACCCGGTCTTACTGTGAGACTGGGTTGACGCGTCACGCTTGTGCGTAATCATATCGGCGCTTTCTGAGCTGGAGGATGTCAGATTCTGGGATTCTCCTCAGACGCCACATTGGAGACAGGAACAAGCACTATTCAGCCAAAGTTTCATAATCAGGTTTGGCAGTGTGAGTGTCCTGTCACAGTGTCCCGATAGATAATGCGCCCTGGCTACTTGGCCAAGGGGTTGTCCCTTTGGCTGACTGGTTAGAGCGTATGACTCTCACCCGGGAGTCTGGGGATTGAAACGCACCCGGGCCCTCGTTTCATTTGACTGTTAATTTTGACAGATGAACTCAAGGATGTTGCTTGGTTTGAAAGAATTACCCCGACGCACACGGATGCGCATGGATGAGCTGACACTTTATCGTTAACGCACATCGCGGAGGTAAAATATTCCCATCAGAACATCAGAGCTTTATACTGGACACTGTGTTCAGCGTGGCTCGGAGCGCCCACGGTGGACAGTGAGCTGAAGATCTGGGGTTCGCAGCGCAGCGCAGAACCGGCGCATGCGATAAGATTTCCTCCCACTGAAACAGTCTGGAAACCCGGTCTCTCTGAGGGATGTCACTTGGAAAAATGTTCTTTTTATGAAATTATGAAACTTTGGCTGAACAGCGCTTGTTCCCGTCTCTAATATGGAGACGCATGAAGCGTATAGACATTTGATCACGCACAAAGTTTATGTGGAGCAGAAGCGGTCGGGCCACGGCAGGTGGAATGTTCCTAGCCTACATGAAGTGAAACTGTTTAATTGTAACATTAATATGTTACTGGACACGCTGGTCTGGTTGGTTAGACCAGTGTTTGAAGTGGAAAACACACACACACACCAATTAAAATAATGCTGATAGCGTGGACTAGAAGACAGGTGATGGTTTACGTATTTAAATGATGATCAGGCTGCTGTAAAACGTAATCTCCATCCACATCCAGACACAATTATCCTCTATTCTTTCTCTATTTGCTCTGCTCTTGTCTGGGCTGACGGAGCTGATGGTGCGCGCGACGCGCCTAACTAGCGGCTGATGCACATTTTACGCGTTTGGAGAGGTGGGCTGGATGCTTTGCGTTTACTGGAAGATGGTCCACTTAACGCACGGGTGTAGACTACATATTAATGACAAATGAATGAAAATTAAATTGTGAGTTTTTACTTCATATTTTATAAGTAAAAAGGACGGGGGAACACATTTATGATGTCTTTTTAAACTAAATTTTCTAGCGCGACCTGCCTGCTTCACTTAAGTCACTGCTTATTAAGGTCCGTCCAGAATTACTGTGGGAAACGGGTAATAATGGCTCTTTGATGGGAACAGGTTGCCGACCCCTGGTATAAGATCTGAGCTGGTAAAACAAAAATCCTCATCAGCAGGTGTTTTTGAAAGTGGGGGGGACACAGCTGCCAATCACAAATTTTGCCGGGGACATGTCCCCGGCGTCCCCGGTTAAAATGACGCCTATGTTCCTAGATCATCCAGCTGTAACCTGTTTCTGATCATGTCTTTAGTCCCGCTGTAACACTGATGCATCAGTCTCACGTCATGGAGCTCAGGTGTTATCAGAACTACCTGTGTGTGTTTACCTCCCAGCTTCAGCTCTTCTGTGGTTGGGTCTGACCCAGGTTAGTAAATGTAAGTCCTCCATCAGGCTTGTGCCTCTTCTAGTGTCATTTTCAAGGATTTTATTTATTTAACCGTTACTAGATTACCAGCAACAGAAATGCTGCTAAAACACACAATTATGTGAAGCTGGATAAATTAAAATAATGCAAAATTACATTTATTTCTGTAATTTAACTAGACTGAGAGACCATTTAAAGGCTCGGGAACCTTTACAGGTGTTTCTATTTGTAATTTTAAATTTTAGCTGATTGGGGTCTTGTTAAATATCACACAGTGACCTTTTAATAGTCTAGATTAGTGTAATGTTCCTATTAGTAGTTCCTCCTGTTAAGTGCTTATTTGTTTAAATTATTCAGGTTCATATAAAACATTTTGTTCCAGTCATTAGTCATTTATATTTTACTATTGTAGTAATTCTTGCATTCTTTAATGAAAAAAGTAACTTAGTAGTTACTTTAGTTGGTAATTAGTTACTTTTATGATCTTGTAACTCAGTAACTGAGTTACTTATTTGACAAAGTAATCAGTAACTATAACTAATTACTTTTTCAAAGTAACGTTCCCAACACTGCTGAAGTGGAGTTTACTGCAGCTCTTTCCTCTGTTCTAAGTGACTTGAATGTCTTTAAAACCAAAACAAGTAGAAGCGCTAAAAGCCTTTCTTCTAAAGAAAGATGTTTGCGCCATCACCAGACGTCATTTTTGACCACAGCTAAAAAACTACAGCGTCGCAGACGTCACACACAGCGACGCCTAGTTTCTCATAAACAACGAAGACAGAGGCGGAGTTCACTTTCCTCTATTCTAAATGACTCAAATGTCTTTAAATCACAAAAAGTAGAAGCACTAAAAGCCTTTTTTCTAAAAAAAAAAAAAAAAAAAAAGATGTTTGCGCCGTTGCCAGACGCCATTTTTGACTACAGCAAAAAAACTACGACGTTGCGCGGTACAGTCGGCATTTCCGTCTTTTTTCTGATTGGTTATTTTAGAGTCAGCTAGCCCCGCCCCTGAAGTGCCTCTCTTCCTGTGAGCTACCAGACTCTTTCTCTGTGCAGAATTAAAAAACAGAGGACGAGTCTGGCAGGCCAGGCTAGTTAAGTAAATAACTCCACATGTGTTCATTCATAGTTTTGATGCCTTCAACATAAATGGTCATGAAAATGAAGACAACTGATTGAATGAGATAGGTGTGTCCAAACATTTGTCCTGTACTGTATGTACATAATTGATTAATTAATTCAATGGCAGACCCTCTAAACAAGCATTTTACATATGCATGAACACAATCTTGTGCCAGCAGGTAGGTCTCTTTCTTCAGGAATTTTCTAGTTAATATTGGTGGTAATAGTAGTAATAATACAATAATGCAAAGCAAACACTAAATAAATTAAAACTATAGAATCATGTGGTTGTGAAGTGAGTTAATGGCCTGTATATGATATAGTGCCTTCTAGAGTCCCAGAAATATTATCCTACCAGAATCATCACTGTCTTTTAGAACACAGATGAATGATAGAAGTTATGCTGCTGCCATGCTCTTAGTGTATTTATTTTCTTATTTTCATCATCCTTAGAAACCTTCCATGAAATGCATGATCTTAAACCATCACGTTGTAGTGTTTGACCTTTCAAACTGTGGTCCTAGCTCTCTTCATGTCATTTGCCAGCTCCTCCCGTGTAAATCTGGGCTGATTCCTCACCTTTTCAGTGATACCCCACCAGGTGAGATCTTGCATGGAGCCCTTGTCTGAGGGAGGCTAACCATTGTCTTTAGCCTCTTCCATTTTCTAACAATGCTCCAACAGATGATCTATTTTCACCAAGCAGCTTGGCGATTGCCCCCATGCCACACGGGACTGCACTGCATGTAGTACTGAAGTGTTCCACTAGGGGATGCACTAAAGAACTCAGACCGGATAGAGAGCCAGGTCTGTGGGTAGCTCACTAACAGGTTAATTTTGAGATCACGACATGAAAATGTGACAGTGTGAGCGTCCTGTCACTGTATCCCGATTGATCATGCGCCCTGGCTACTTGGCCAAGAGGATGTCTCTTTGGCTGACTGGTAAGCGCACGTGACTCTCACCCGGGAGTCTGAGGATCAAATCCCGCCCGGGCCATCGTTTCTCCACCTTGCCACAAAAAGAAGACAGCAGCGGTATCGTAGACAGTGTGAAAGACCTCTAAACCACAAACGGAGTCACCATGGTGAGTTTATCTCACCCGTTTTGTCAACTCCACCTACTGGTTACTCGAAAGTTGCAGTGTTAACTCATTCACTGCCATTGACGACTAAAGTCATCATTTTAGATCCAACCGTTCACTGCAAATTTGCATATTTTTACTGTGTGGGCATCTGAACGAGCCCCCGCACCGAGAGAACAAACATCCCAGCTCTGAAACCGATCTTCATCCACATACGCCACGCGTCACATGATCAGGAAGCAAAAAATCCATGTGTTAGGAGATCGTTTTGGGCTGTTCCTATAAAAAAGGTGAGGCGCGAACCGGAAAAGCTTCTGCCGATCACAATTCGACAACAGATTATGAAAGAACGGATAACGCTCGAAACGCGTGGATTCTTCCTGATGTAAGAGGTGAGTTTCCTCTTTGTTTTGGTTGTTTTTGTGTCGACATCATGCCAGCGCGCAACGTTCTGTCACTCTTAAAAAAAAACAGTAAAAATGGTTAGAAACGCTGGCAGCGAAGGGCTTTACCGATCAGGAAATGGCTGGCAGCGAATGAGTTAATTTTGGGGGACACGCACAAACAACAGTTCAAATCAACGCAAGTAACGCATGGCAGCCACTTTAACACGCATTTGCACAGTTAACCAGCAAGTATGTCACTAACAGGTCTTTGAGAACCAGAATTCTTGATGATTGCCAGGTGGTCAAATACTTAAATGCAACAGTGCAAAACAAAGCTTGTATTGTTTTATCATAAATTGTGATTTCCTGATTCTTTAAACATTGTCTCTCCCAGTGGGAATTTGCCTACACTGTGAATTTCAGACCCCTCCATGATTTCCAAGTGGGAGAACTTGTAAAATCGCAGGGTGATCAAAAGTGTATGTTCACCAAATCAACAAACTGTAAACATTGTAGATACTCACCCTATAAAAATTCATGTTGCCTACATATTCCTCATTCACCTCCAGCAATCGGTCTCCATCTCTGATGCCACTGTACTCTGCAGGACTCAAAGGCTCCACATCTCTGATCTCAAACTCCCTGCACCTTGGGTCAACATGCAGATGAAAACCAAACCTCTGACCTTCCAAACGCTTCAGGTGACACATTTTGGGCTCCAGCCTTGGATCAGGCTCTGCATGCATGATTCAGTACAGGTCAGGCCTGAAGAAGCACTAAGTGTAGTTTTGTAAAGATGTGCGCATCCAAACTCACCAGGATCATCAGCGATGACCAGAGCTGGATTATCGATCCCTTCCTTTGGGTTGAAGGTAAAACTAGAATACGGAGACAGGAAGGTCAGTGGGTTTGCTTGCAACAGCAAAGTCAAACTTCTGACAGGTTCAAACAACATTTTGGAAGTTGGACACGATTGAGTAATTTGTTGTTTTGACCATAACTCAGAACTTTACAATATGCACCTGTGAAAACGAGCATTTAACACAGCACTGCACTGGAGCTGGTGTTTAAGGTTGACCAGGTAAATGTATCCATTACAAACATTATGTGTGAAGAGAGGATGGTCTAATGTTGTACCGGTTCCCAAGCGCCTTGGGGCCATAGGACTCAATTTTGTGGACCTGCGGTATTACGTTTTGAACACTCAGGTAAAGAACGCAGCATAGCTGTCAGCTGATCACCAGCTGGTTCTGCGACTAATATGGCAGAGAGGGTGAACTGTCCATGAGATCTTTAACACACACCTTTGGGAGTGTTTTTTCCCACATCCCAGGGTAATTTGGGGATTTGGAATTTGAAGAAGTCATGTTTGTGGCTTGAAGGCTGCTGGTGCCCATCTCAACCACAGGGCTCAATGGTGGAGATGGAAGCAGCAAAGCTGAATAAGGTTTTATTCTGTTCAAAGAGATATCTTCTTAACAGTCACCTTGTGGTGGATAGGTTCTTCCTAAGTCTGAAAGCAGCTGGTTTTGGAAAGAAAAGAGAACTTACCGTGGAAACTCCACTCCATCCTGGTTGCCTGTGGGAGTGACAGGGACAGTGAGATTTTTGGACATTTCAGCAAACAGAAAACTGCTTTCAAAAAGTATTTCATTAGGGTTAGGGTTTGTAAATCAGGAGGAATCCAGAGTTTCCTTCATCACAATCAGATCATTCAGCAGTAGTTCAGGGTAGTTTAGATATGCAAAGAAGACATCATCGTTCTGGCAGAAAAGTCCAGTTTTAGTTGTTTTGGGGTTAAGTGGATGATGCAAAGGTCCCAGTATACTCTGATGTGTTCAATAAAACATACAAGAGAGAATTAAAGTCATTCAAAGGCAGATCAAGTCCTTCAGAGGCAAACTGGATGCTGTAATCACTTTTTGTCAAGTTGAAAAAGCACAAAATATAAGAAATCGATACAACTGTGAATAGATTTATTTTTCATTTTCATTGCAGGACAGCTATGTCACAGTTTATCTTTATAACTAATAAGGCTGTACTATGCAGGTGGCCAGTTTTCACTGGGGTTGGGCATCGTTTGATTTTGAACGATTCCGATTCCTCCTTTCGATTCTGGTTCCTATTGATTTCCGATTCTTTCAAGACATGACATGTTTTACATGAGCCAGCTAACCACAGGTCCTACTGGATGAAATAATCTTAACTTCAACATGAATTTTAATTCTATGAACAACAACATCATTTTCATTTAGACAAAAAAGAAAAAGACTTGCAGCACAACCAGTGTGTTTGTTTCTGACCACAACCAAAGTCTGGAAGAATCCTCTGGGATGAGAGGCTAAATGTCTCCAACACATCCAGAAACGTCCAGCTGTTTTCAGCTAAAACTCTCAGGATGATCATGTCCAGGATGACTGAGAACTGCACCTCCATGCTGCAGCAGCATTCAGTCAGAACAGGAAGTGAAACTTAAACGTAGCTGCTGTCATTAACAGTCTAACAGATTCTAAACATTAAAACTCTCAACAGAAATAGTTCAGAAAGGAATTTAAAATGTTCACAACTTCGCGTGTGATTTATTATTATTATTATTATTATTATTATTTATTGTGGCAGAAGCTGGTGTGGTCCACCACAGAGAAGCTGCTCTAGCATGATGACTTTAATTATTCTACAGGTTATTGTTCAGCCTTCTGACGCTCTCACGAGTGTTGCTGACGCTCCGTGTGTGTTTTTATTTCTGCAGTGAGACAAACTCACCTCACACCGTCTAGTTTGTTCTTTAAAGCTTCTATTAAATCCACCATGTTGACGTATTTAACACGTTTCCTCTACGCTGCAGGAGTTAAAGTTTACATTACGGAGTAAAAGTTCGGCAGACGCGTGCGGGGAGGGGGGACTCGATGCTGCACACAGACAGCTGGTGTGATCATCTCTGAAAAGCGTTGATCATGATTTGCAGATCAGGTTTATTTTTCACGGAGATCGGCCGCAGATTCTTCTTCCGGTCGGCCTTCTAGGAATCGAAATAAAAAACTTTCAACGATTCAGGGAAAAACTAACAGTTGATCCCGGTTCCAATCGATGCTCGATGCCCAACCCTAGTATCACTAGACACTATTAATTTAATGTTGGGGGTAAATATTGTCTGCATTTATGTTAAACTACAAACACTTCAAACTAACTCCAGTGGAAAAAACATGACAAACTTATGATGACGTCCTTAAAAAAAACTACTGAGATATTTAATCACTTTACACTGCAAGTGCGGCAAGGTTTGCGACTGATGGGAGTGTGTACAGTAGAACAATGCAAAGGGGAGCTCAGATAGTTAGAACTATTATTTTCCATCGATAGAACGTGAAGGCATCGTGTAAGACAGTCGAATGTCGATGAGTCTCAGACTCATTGCATGAGAGTGTAGGGGCTTTGAAGGTCAAGAGGTCATCTGTACAAATAGTATAGATCAGAATTGTGAATCATTGGTTTAAAAGCTGTGGCCGCCCTGTGTAAAGTCATTAATGAGTAAACACATAAAATCCAGCTCTAGTAAACAAAGTAGAGGAAACAGCTTAGGGGTTAAGTTCATGAGCCTCACGGGGGAAAGGTTGCTCCTCAGCCCTCGGAGCTGTTCAACAGGTGGATGGAGGCTGACTAAGCTGGGTGGTTGGGGTCCGTCTCAATGTTTTTGTCTCTGGTTCTGGTTTTGTAAATGTCCTCTAGAGATGGGAGGCCTTGATTGGTCAATGTTTGAGTAGATCTAACCACTCTGCTCTTTCTCAGACCAGTTCCTGTTACAGAAGATATCAGGACAATCTTCATCACATACCAGTAAGACCAGCATTTTTTAGGTTTCTTAAATCTGGATGTGTTGGTGGTTTATGTAAGGTAAGAGGTCATGTGCTGGTCCAGGTATTTGACTGGTTTGATTAGTTCCATTGATAAGGGCGCAGAGGTGTAGGTTCTCCTTCTGAGGTCCAACATCATCTCCTTCATGCCTCATAAAATTTGGTTATTTGTCTGAAAACCACTGAGAACTCTACTGTACCTCACTCATGTACAGTCAGGCCTATAGATGTTGGGACATCGACACAATGCTAACATTATTCGCTCTATACACCACCACAATGGATATCAAATAAAATGAACAAGATGTGCTTTAACTGCAGACTGTCAGCTTCTATTTGAGGGTATTTACATCCAAATCAGGTGAACGGTGTAGGAATTACAACAGTTTGCATTTGTGCCTCCCACTTGTTAGGGGACCAAAAGTAACGGGACAGAATAAGAACCATAAAGCAAACTTATACATTTCAATACTTGGTTGCAAATCCGGCTGCGCAGTGGTTAGAGCTGTTGCCTTGCAGCGAGGAGGTTCTGGGTTCTATTCCCGGCCGAGGATCTTTCTGCATGGAGTTTGCATGTTCTCCCTGTGCATGCGTGGGTTCTCTCCGGGTACTCCGGCTTCCTCCCACAGTCCAAAAACATGATTGTTAGGTTGATTGGTCTGTCTAAATTGTCCTTAGGTGTGAGTGTGTGTGTGCATGGTTGTTTGTCCTGTGTCTCTGTGTTGCCCTGAGATGGACTGGCTCTCTGTCCAGGGTGTACCCCGCCTACTTGCCAGTTGACTGCTGGAGATAGGCACAGGCACCAGCACCCCCCCCCCCCCCCACCCCCCACCCCCAACCCTGCGTGGACAAAGCGGGTTCAGAAGATGGATGGATGGGTGGGTTGCAAATCCTTTGCAGTCAATTACAGCCTGAAGTCTGGAACACATGACATCACCAGACGTTGGGTTTCATCCCTGGTGATGCTCTGCCAGGCCTCTACTGCAACAGTCTTTAGCTCCTGCTTGTTCCTGGGACATTTTCCCTTCAGTTTTGTCTTCAGCAAGTGAAATGTATGCTCAATCGGATTCAGGTCAGGTGATTGACTTGGCCGTTGCAAAACAGTCCACTTCTTTCCCTTCAAAAACTCTTTGGTTGCTTTTGCAGTATGCTTTGGGTCATGGTCCATCTGCACTGTGAAGCACCGTCCATTGAGTTCTGAGGCATTTGGCTGAATATGAGCAGATAATATTGCCCGAAACACTTCAGAATTCATCGTGCTGCTTTTGTCAGCAGTCACATCATCAATAAATACAAGAGAACCAGTTCCACTAGCAGCCATGTATGCCCACGCCATGACACTTCCAGCACCATGCTTCACTGATGAGGTGGTATGCTTAGGATCATGAGGAGTTCCTTTCCGTCTCCATACTCTTCTCTTCCCATCACTCTGGTACAAGTTGTTCTTGGTCTCATCTGTCCGTAGGATGTTGTTCCAGAACTCTGAAGGCTTTTTTAGATGTTGTTTGGCAAACTCTAATCTGGCCTTCCTGTTTTGGGGGCTCACCAATGGTTTTCATCTTGTGGTGAACCCTCTGTATTCACACCGGTGGAGTCTTCTCTTGATTGTTGACTTGGACACAGCTACACCTACCTCCTGGAGAGTGTTCTTGATCTGGCCAACTGTTGTGAAGGGTGTTTTCTTCACCAGGGAAAGGATTCTTCGGTCATCCTCCACAGTTGTTTTCCGTGGTCTTCCGGGTCTTTTGGTGTTGCTGAGCTCACCCGTGCGTTCCTTCTTTTTGAGAATGTTCCAAACTGTTGTTTTGGCCACACCTAATGTTTTTGCTATCTCTGATAGGTTTCTTTTGTTTTTTCAGCCTAATGATGGCTTGCTTCACTGATAGTGACAGCTCTTTGGATCTCATCTTGACAGTTGACAGCAACAGATTCCAAATGCAAATAGCACCCTTGAAATGAACTCTGGACCTTTTATCTGCTCATTGTAATTGGGATAATGAGGGAATAACACACACCTGGCCATGAAACAGCTGAGAAGCCAATTGTCCTGTTACTTTTGGTCCCTTAACAAGTGGGAGGCACATATGCAAACTGTTGTATTTCCTACACCGTTCACCTGATTTGGATGTAAAAACCCTCAAATAAAAGCTGTCAGTCTGCAGTTAAAGCACATCTTGTTTGTTTCATTTGATATCCATTGTGGTGGTGTATAGAGCCAAAAATGTTAGCATTGTGTTGATGTCCCAACATTTATGGACCTGACTGTATATAGTCTCATTCGTGGAGACCTGTGCTACTCTGCCAGCATCAGGCCCAGTTTACACTGAGCTCAGCTCAGCTCAAACATGGTATTCATTCACCCATGGACCTAGTCCCTACTAGGGTTGTCACAATACTAAAATTTCAAACTCGATTCGATACTTGAAAAATACTCGATACTCGATTTCGATACTTTTTGAAAACACCCATTTATCGAACAAGTTTATTAAAAAAATAACATTCCTCAATTTATATTACAAAAATTAAATGTTAAGAATTAAGTGTGTAAAGTGCTTAAACCTTTCAAGTATCAGCATTTTTTAAAACGTGCATACAAAAACTGGTGAAAGTTAACACTTAAAATCATGAATTGTCTCACTATATATACACTATTTGCAGAGTGATGCTTTGCTGCTTAAACTCTGTTTAAGGTGCATTTTTGTCATAAGATGTAATGCCATATGTTTTG